CAAGAGTCTTAGATACATCGATGCAGCGGACCCTGTCACTGCGTATGACGAATTGACATGAGTTATCATGATTACCATGTTTTTCAAGATTGCTGTTTGCTGTTTTCCTTTCATTGTGAAGCTTATTAAACTCAGCTTGTTCCGAAATTGTTTGATCAGGTCTGATAAAAACATTCTTGTGTTCAGTTTTGGAAAGATTGGATGCTACTGCCAATACCATATTTCTTGATTCTACACTTTCAAATTCCACAATAATTGAGTTTTGGCTGTTTCTGGCATTAAAGTCGTTTGTTACATTGGTAGTTGAACTGAACTTGGGTTTTTATTATATGAGTCAATACAATTTTAGCGTTAACTTTTAAAAAACACAAAAATTATTAACGTGTTTAACTAGACTTTCTGCTTTGCCATTTGAAGATTAGGGAATAACGTTATCAGAGTAGGTCGGCTGTACAAATGATGGCTGACTATTTTTAGAGAATTAAACGTGATAGTCCTTAAGTTGAACACTCCAGAAAGAGCTATAAACGAAAGCTTCTACCTTAACTACATGTTTACCATTATGATAACTTTAAACCTTTTGTAAAAAGGTAATAGTGCTGTATAAACATTGTATTCATATTTCTTTCTTATTTCCTTGTATTTTGACATTTGTATTTTTTGTATAAAGGGACCACATATCATTTATAAGTACAATATTTTTCATAATTTAAAAAAAAAACAGAACTCTATGGGTAAATAACGTGATTAATAGAAGCTATAATAAATTTAGAGTTCTCATCTAAATATTACTTAAAAGTAACTGTCACTCCTCAGTCAGCAGATATTTTGTTTCCTGTGTTATTGTTATTATTGTTACTATAACGTTTTATTTAGCTTATTGAACAATATTACAATTTTCATATAATAAAGTAACAAATAAATAAAGTCATAAACATATTGATACAAACTTTTAAATTTTTATAATATATACTGTTATAATCAGTTAGAGACTCAAAGAAGGTAAGGACGATGTGTTTATTGTCACAACTTTTACATAGAGCCCCTGCAGTCACTCATTAAAAAACAATTCAATTTTTTTCAAACAAAAAACAAAAAACAAATAAAAAATTACTAAATGCCGTTTGTAACATGAAAATCAAATAAAAATTCAATAAATCAAAGCACTTCTTTTTTTTTTTTGGTGTAAAGAAAGGCTAACAAAAAAATATTAAAACAATAAAAAAAAAAGAGAAACAAAAAAATATTAATAACAATTTAAAAGAAAAGAAAAATTAAAATATTGAAAATAACTATGTTGAATCATTTGTAAAATACTGTAAACTATTAAATATATGTCAGAAATTAAGAAGATGCAACTTAGTTTGCTGTTTAAACGATGAAATGGTTTTTAGGTTTTTATTATTCTTATTTTGGAAATAATACCGTATTGATCGATGATGCACGGATTGTAATTAGAAAATTTGACAGCTGAGATTTAATTTTCCTTAAGTGGTAATTATACCTAGTATTTAAATGCAGATTATATTTTTCCGAAAATGATAGAAAAAAATCTAAAAAAAAAAGTTTGGTGGTAGTTTGTTTTAATACTTATACATAAAAACTAATATCTGTAATGTGTTAGACTACTTAATATCTAGAACCATCAATAATAATCAATAATTTACTAAAATCATATATAAAAATGTAATTATTTAATTAGTATAAATTAACATTATGTTGATGAAAAAAATTATTTTTGTATAACGTTATATAAAAATATTTATTTTCATTTACATAACTTTAAATTTACATAAACTAGATTTATATATATATATATATATATATATATATATATATATATATATATATATATATATATATATATATATATATATATATATATATATATATATATATATATATATATATATATATATATATATATATATATATATATATATTATATATATATATATATATATATATATATATATATATATATATATATATATTATCGTAAAGTTCTTTACGAAATCCATCTCTAAATAATAAGTCTAATTAATACATTAGTTAATTAAGTTGTTAGCGTAGTTGTCAGTGACGGATCGATATGCATCCCCACCAGAATCTGAAAGTCCTAAAATATCTTAGAAATTGAGGAACTTTTTTTTTCAGGAGATGCAAATCTGAGGCATAATACAAAAAATTTTTAACACCCCCCCCCCACCACCCAAAAAAAAATTCCTGGATCCGTCACTGGTAGTTGTTAGTATGTAAGGCCAACAAATTTGATAGTCGAGTTATAATACTTGTTTTAATTTATTTGGTAATTCTTTTTAATATAATTTATTTTACCTTTAATTTTATTTACTGGGTAGTAATGAGAAAATGTAATAAAAATAATAAAGTAAAAAAAAATCTAAAATACTTCAAAATACCTCAAAATATCTTATAATCAATAAAACTACATTAAAAGCTTAACATTATAAACACTTTTATAAATAAAATTTTGAAAATAAATTCACTTTAAATAGTATTAAATTCAAAATCTCCCAAAATATTGAAATGGTATGTAGCTAAACCATTTTTGAACATTAAATCTTTGAAAATTTCTTTTTCTTTTTTTTATTCCTAGTTATTTAATACTGTAATAAAATAGACAAATACTATTAATACAAAATTCAAAATACATTTAGTAAAATATCACAAGCAGGAAGGGGCGTTTTTAAGGGCGAAGGGTAATAACTCCAAAAAAAACTAATTTCAATTTGAGTTTGGTTTTTTAAGGAATATAGTCAGCTAGTCGGCATTTAACACATGTGAAATCAGCCGGCAATTTTTGAGTTTTAAAAATTTTTTAAAAAGCAGTTGACAGTTTTTTAATGTTTTGCCCCCCCTCCCTAATTTTTTCCTATGCATGTACGCCAAATAATACATTGGAGAAAATAGAATCAGCCTCACCATGTGATTCAATATTTTGTAAATCTGTAAACAAGTTTGTGCTGTGCAACTTTTATATTCACACAAAAATTGTCAATTAATCAGTAGTCACGGTTTCTTTATTTAAAATATTCGATCACCCCTAAATTCATTTAGATTATTGTGATTTGCGGTTGTTTCATTATTATATTACATTCTAGTGTATGATTATCTAGTTTTACCTGATGATTTATTAAATGAATTAAAAAATAATTATTGTTACAAAAAATAATTTTTTAGATTATAATATGGTATAATTAAATTGCCATTCATTTGAAAGGGAAGGGAAGTGGTTGCAAATGTAAAATTGATAATCGTACTAAACGAGTTATTGTACGTTGTGCTGCTGCTCAGCACATGACTGCATCTCAAATTCGTGCTGATTTATAACTATCTGTATCTGTTCAACGTGTGAGACAAATCTTAAATGAAGTTCCAAACACAGTTTGGAAAAAACGTAAACCAAATTCAAAGCTTACTGTTCGTCATAAAGAAGTTAGATTACAATTTGCAAAAGAACACATGTCTTGGCGGGAACCATTTTATTCACATGTCTTGGCGGGAAGAATGACATCAAGTTCTCTTTAGTGATAAAAAAAGTTCAATCTAGATGGTCCTGATGGCTACCAATATTACTGGCACGGTCTTCGAAAAGAAAAAGAAACTCGTACGAATTGTAACCTTTGTGGTGGAACTGATATGGTTTGGGGGGCTTTTTCCTTTGCTGGAAAACTTCCACTCGCATGGACTTTAACAAAAGTGAGTTCACAGGACTACATTGACTTATTAGAAATAAATTTGCTTGAATATGGGGAGGAATTGATGGGTGAAAATTTCACTTTTTAACAATATAGTGCTGCTATCCATAATTCAAAGCTTACAAAAGCTTGGTTTCGAGAAAAAAATATTCACGTAATGGAATAGCCCACATGTAGTCCAGATCTTAACCTAATTGAAAATCTATGGGGAATAATTTTTAGAAAGATTTATGAAAATGGTATGCAATTTGAATCCACCTTGGAGCTGAAAACTCGTGTCAGAGAAGCTTGGAATGAAATAGAAACTATCAAAAATCTTGTGACTAGTGACGTCAAGTCGCATATTTGAATTTATTAAAAATTTAGGAAGCAATATTAAATAAGCGTAAAAACAAAATATTTTTTGTATCTTCTTTTATATAACGTAAATAAGGCTAATTCTATTTTATCCATAAATTGAATACTTTTATTTTTTTTCCATTTTAATTAATTAAACATATCAATTTATAAACTTTTTAGTTGTAGCAGAAGATGATAAAAAATAAAGTAGATTTAATAACTGTTTCATTGCCATTTTTGTTAAATTAAAACAAAAAATAAAGGCGAGGCTAATTCTATTTTCTCCGCTGTATTTCGAGCTGATAAAACTGTTGCTTGTGAACCATTTATGCAGGTACTTAGAGCGTTACGTGTTTATAAACTGCACTTACTCAAAGTTTTGTGTTCATGTTTAAAAAAAGCTAGGATTGCCACCTAAAATTATTTTGTTTCAACAAAGTTCACAAAAATTCTCCACACTGTTTTTATTTCTTAAACTTTTTAGATATTCTTAGACTTTATTTATTTACGTTATTTTTACCGCTATTTTCAAATTTTTTAAATCCTTGCAGTTATCATTTTTATTCATTGCTAATAAAATTTTAGAACAGAGGTCAAATTTTAGAGGTCGAGAATATATCAAAGTTATCGATTATGCTTTTAAAAGTGGGTTCCAAATATTTTGAATAGACATTAAAAAAAAAAAAAAAATGTTTTTCTTAAAAGCATAGTCAATAATAAAATTAAGTAGATTTAAATTTTTTGACCAAAGCAGAAGTTACTGTAGTAAATGTTTTAAATATTAAACTTTTTATATTGGATACCAGCGCATCTGTTTTTATTGAAATATTTTTATAGTGATAAATATATTTGTATTGAGATAAATATTTTTATTGTGATAAATATTTGCAATTGGATGATGTTGTTTCAGTTGTTATAAGTTCAGTTGTTTTTTACAAAAAATTTAAAGGTTTTTTTCAATTTTTTTTATTACCTTTATTCAGATAAATAAAATAACTTATGACTCAAGTATTTTTATCAGAACAAAGTGATTGAATGACAATGGCAATCGATGACAAATTAATTACCGTTTGTCTAAAGTGAACTTAATAACGTTATAAAGTTTGCATGAAAAATATGTAATCTTATTGCAGTGTAGCAAAATTGTCTTTAAAAGAAGCGGAAAAAATTGAAACATAGACATATATTTAAGCTGAATATTAGTTACTTTTTTTTATGCAAGCAAAAGTAGGGTGAAACGAAGTTGCATTCAAAAAATAAGAAGAACTTCTTCGGATACTGAGTAAATTACAAAACGCTACTTGCAACACTAAACACAAACTGGTAAACTTTTGTAAAACAAGTTTTAACCTTTGCAATTATATTTTAACAGTAAAACTGATAATATAGATAAAAATTATTAAGAATCATTAAAGTAAAAAATATATCCAAGTATATTGTTTTAACAGTTTCAACAATGCTTTTTCCGAAATATTTTTTAATGTATGTAATATATTATTTTTAAAATTATTTTAATGTATGGAAATAATTTTTCTAAAATTATTTGCAATGTTGGCAATATTATATATGTTATTAAAAACAGGGTACTGAATTATTAGAAATTATAATATATATGTTATTAGAAATAATTATTATATATAAATTTTTAGAAACAGTCTACTGGATTATATAGGATAATGATTACATTTTTGATAACTTCTTCTGGCGTTTGAAAATATTTAAACAAAAGTTATATTTAAGCTTATATTTAAATTTAAGTTATAAAAGAAGCTCAAGAATTTTTTTTAAGTTAAAAAAAAAACAAAAAAAAACGAGGGGTACTTATTATTTTCACATCCTAAAAATATATAGATATATTTTAGATATAAGGATTATTTAAATTGACACTAATATAACAAGAAACAAAATGAGGTTTAGCGATAATATCATTATTATTATAAAGTAGATTGGTACTTAGTGTTTAATATTTGACTGTATTTTTAATTTTTTGCCAAATTGAGTTATATAACAGTTAAAAAGGGTACATTTTTAAAATATAGTTAGATATAAATAAAATAAAATATTTTTTTCAAAAAACTCAAGTGTCTATACAAAAAAAAAAAAAACAAATAAAAAAAAACAACAAAAAAACAAAAAAAAAAATGTTTTCAAGTGAAAATAATTTTCCATCAAATTTTTATAATAATAGGAAAAAATTTTAAAGAATTATTTTTACGGCTGAAAACTACCTAGCAACATCATAGCAATAAAGACAACAGTTTAGTCTTAAAGATATTGTTTTGTAAAATAAATTTTTAAAATAACATAAAATGTAAATATTATAATGGTTAATAGAAGGAGTTTAAGAAGGTCATATCCTATCATGAAGTTATCGGCAATAATTAAATAATATAATTATACAATTTTCTTCGTAAAATTGTATACATTACAGTTACATTAACAAATTTAAATTAAAAATGAATTACAATACATTAACAAATTTAAATTAAAAATGAATAGCTGCAATTGTTAGAAATATTCCAAAGATACGTACCTCGGTGAGAAATACAAAATTGATCATATTTTTTTTTGGCAAATAGAGATATTAAGATAGTTATTATTACGTAAATCGTATTTATTTTTAGATTTTATTGTGCAAAGGTTTTAGAATACACAAAGAGATAAATCTTTTTTTTTTAAACAAAAACTATAAAATCTTATATAGATTTAGCTGGTAAATGTTTACAACTTTTATTTCTTTAAGCAATGGCTTCCAGTGCGTAAAACGGTTTTTAAAAAATTATTGCACGAGCTGCATGTTTCTGATGATGATAAAGAGATTTAAGCTTTGTATAATCAGTGCTAGCCCATATTATATTTGCGTAGTTTGATGTTATAACGAATAATAAAATTGAGTTAGTTGTTGTTTTTTAAATATGTTTCTAGGTTTATATATAATACCAACAGATTTAGCAACTTCGATGAGATACTATCAAAGTGATTTCTCTAGGATTAGATTTCTATCAAACTCCTAAAAATATATTTTTTCTCTTTTATTAATAATATTGTGGATAAAAAGTTCAGGCATCAGACTTGGCAACCTTCGTTTATCATTTTTTGACTGATAATAATATTGATTGCTTGAAAGCATCGAGTGATCTTTTTTACAATAAGTTTCATCATCTTCTGAAGTTCACAAACTTTTTTTCGTCATTATTTAAAGAAAATATTTAGCTCGTCTATTTACCTCGATTTCTCCAAAAGTGACCTTTTCGGTATCTTTTTGAAATATGCTTTCCTTTTTGAACACTCTTTAAACAAAAGATCTCATTTAAACTTCGTATCTAAATCTTGTTGTGACTGATTCGGATTTCTATGATTTGAGTCGACTATTAATTTTGCCTTCTTTTTGGCAGTAAATTTTGATTTTCCACCACCTAAACAAAGCTAAACCCAATCACGCACAAAAAACCATTATTATAAAAAAAACATAATTAAATTTAACAGTTTAATGTAACCGTCATTATAAAAAAAATCATGATTGTTTGAGTGGTTTTTAAAAAAAAAATCAGTTTAAAATCTTCCTATTTTTAACCGATCATAGTGATACCGAACATAAAAATAGCTAAACCGAACATAAAAATAGCTGAACCGGACATAGAAAAGGCCAAAGTAATAACTAAACACGCGCCAATAATCAACATAAAAGATTGCATAAGTATTGCCAAAAACGTTCATGTTCAAAAAAAGGCTTGCAATACGCCTTAAAAAATTTTAAAGAACTTTTTTACTAAATTTCTAAGGATGAAAATTTTCGTTTTAAATATTATGTTTTTAGTTTTTTAAATTGTGCTCTAAATGATGCATAACTGCTTGTGCGTCAGAAACTTGTGATATTTGTGTTTGTTTATAACGTTTTTATTACAACGCGTTTGAAAGCAAATTACGCGTTAGCATTTTTAATTCAATACGCGTTATTATTTTTAATTAAAAAATTCAATACGCGATATTATTTTTAATTAAAAAAACGCGTTAGTTTTTTTAATTCAATACGCGTTAGTATTTTTAATTCAAAAATTTAGAGCTTTAAATGAAATTAAATATACGAGTATAAATTCTTATAAGTTTATAGTTATAAATTTTAAGAACTTATGCTCATATATTTATGAGGATTTATAAGTATAAACTTAAAAGAATTTATACTCGTATATTCAATTTCATTAAAAACTCTTAATTTTTGAATTAAAAATACGAAATGAGTATACCATGTATGTATAAGATTTATGAGTATGAATTCGTATATATATATATATATGCATATATATATATATATATATATATATATATATATATATATATATATATATATATATATATATATATATATATATATATATATATATATATATATATATATATATATATATATATATATGAACATAAATTCTTATATATACATAAGTATAAATTCTTAGTTTTTTATGTCAAAAAATGTCAGTGTTTTGTTTTATTTTATATTTTTTTGTTTAAAATTTTAATTTTAATTTTTTATTCTTTGTGGTTGTTGTTTTTTTTATTTTATAACTTTTCTTTAGTTTATTCTTTTTAAATTTGTTTTACTTTTACTTTGTGCTTTTTCTAAAGTTTATTTGTTTATTTAATTGTTTTTCTTTCTTTCTTTTTTTTTAATTTTTGTTTTGTTTTCAATTAATTAAAGTTTTTTGTTGAAATTGTTTATATATTGGATTTTCTAGGGATTAGTTGCGTTATAAGAAAAAAATTTTGTCGCCCCTAAAATTTTGTAGGCTTGGTGTTTAAATTCCTCTAACCCCCTCTTAATCCAGAATTGCTTGTTTTCTTTAAAAACTTTTTTTTGTGTCAACTAGCATTTATTATTTGCATTAAACTGTAGATTAAATACACGCTATTATTTACGTTTTTTTATTTACATTTATTATTTATTAAATTTTTTATAGCTTTTTATTTAATTATCATTAATGTTAAAAAATAATTTGTTTTTATACTCAAAAAAGTACAACATACTGTGTGAATCCAAACAAAAATATGAATTACACAAATATTATTTTACTTTAACCATTATATTAATTAAATTATCATATAAATGTACATAAAAAATTAATTGAAATTTCTTAAATGTTTATAGCTAAAGCTTTCGGATAATCTTCGTGGCTCATGAGTTATCAAGTAACAAAAACTTTTAGCCCAATTGTGTTTTCAAACACCAACGATAATGATTTCAAACAGTTAATTTTATCTTAAAAAAAATTTCAAAAACATTTAACAATTTATATATATTTTTGTTCAGAAATATATTTTAAAAGATGCAACATATCATAAGACCTGTTGGCGGATACTGTACGTTTGTTCTCGTCTCTGTTGCTGCGGTTACACTCAACTCTATTGCTCTTTTTGGAAACAGCTGGAAAGTTGATATGGATTCAAAGCAAGGCGAAGGTATATGGATGCTTTGTCATGGGACATGCCCAAATCATAAATCTGATGGTCATTGGCAGAACGCATGTACAGCGTTTCTTTGCACAGCTATAGCTTTTAATTGTTTATCCCTTTTAACAACATTTTGCAACATTATGTGTGAAAGCGTTAATAACAATTCAGGTGTAGTTTTTATTGTGGGTTCAATGATTTTCAGCTTTTGCGCAATAACTTTATTTATAAAGCATACGATAGATGACAACACTATTGATTACGGGAAATCTTTTTATATAAGCATTGTTGGTTTGTTTTGTTTGACAATTAATTTTATTCTTAGTATATTTTGTTAAGCATCTTTTTTATATTAGTGAAAAAATAAAACATAAAATATATTATAAACTACTATTGAACTTTTAAAAACTTGTAAATTAAAAAAAAATAACGAATATCGATCAGTATAGAATTAAAATCTCTATTTAAAAAAAGTTGTTTTTATTTCTTTTTACGTGTACATCTATTTTGAAATTTAAAATCTGTTATTTCAAAATAGATGTACATATGATCTGTTATTTCAATATTAGGTAGTGCTCATTGAATAATTTTATTTTTATAAAATACTTTGGTTACATTAATTGATCAAACTAGGCTCAATCCAAAAAAAATTTGCAATTAATTTTTTTGTAACTTCTTTGTAATGAGTAAGTTGATATTGTCAGAAAAATGGTTATCAGTTACTTTAGAGAAATGTTAAGATTGAACACATGAGGAGCATTTTTGAACACATGAGGAGCATTTTATTGGAAAAGATTCAACATTGTTGATGTATAAGACTGTGATCTAATAAGAAAATATGATGAAACCCATTAGAGAGCAATACCATAGTATTTTGATTTATATAGAAGGATGATTTGATCAACAAAATCAAACGCCTTGTCAAGGTCAAGAAACCCAATACAAAAAATTTATTGTTTAGAGCTTTTCTAATGGTCTCAGTTATTTTAATAAGAGTTTTGAAGTGTTTGCTATGAAGACTATACTGATAATTGTAGGAATTTTTATCGAAAAGTATACGGTCTATTATGCATGGCTTTGTTAAATATTTTGCTAACGTTAGATTGAGGAGATTTTGGTTGATAGTTTTTATTTGTTGATATTTGTACTGATTGATAATTTGTATTGATTGATACTTGTATGGCTGATATTTGTATTGGTTGATAATTTGTATCGTTTGTTAAAGAACGCATTTTTTGAATAGAAATGGCTATTTTTTATTAATTTTTTTTCAAAAGAATTATTTAATTTGGTACAAGGAGGCCTAAAAATAATGCGAGATATTTTGCATTTTTTTTAATACAAAATAATTATGCAATATTTCGGACACTTTATTTTCAGTGACTAGAATAAGAAAGAAAAAATTAAAACCAGAATTTTTAAAATAGTGCAATATATATATATATATATATATATATATATATATATATATATATATATATATATATATATATATATATATATATATATATATATATATATATATATATATATATATATATATATATATATATATATACATACATACACACATACACACATACATACATACATACATACATACATACATACATACATATACTTTGAGAAGAAAACAATTTTACTTGAAGATGTACGTTGTATTGTTTTCATAGTTTTTGTTAAATATGTTAGCAACAGCCATGTTGTATAACATTTATAACAACATGCTGTCAGAGATAACAGTGTCTTAGCAACATACTGTCTGAGATAGAGATTTAATTAGTGAGGAAGGGAAAGAAATGAATGAATTTTTTTATTCATTTTTTTTGTTATGGTTTTTTTTATAAAAAGAAATGTATAATGAATTTTGGGAAATTTTTAAAAAGTTGTTTACTTTTTTCCTTTACAGTTTTTTTTTTTTTTAAGTAGTTAACGTTTTGAGATTTTTTTTTTACGATTTTCTAAATCTTATTTTTATAGAGTTGTAACTGACTTCAGAATTCCAAATGTGATCAAATGTTAAAACTTAATATAATATGGTTTATGGTCAGTTTTTGTACGGACCATAACAATCAAAGATTGTGTTAAATATTTTTAAAAAGAATTTTATAGATTCATTGACATTATCACCATTTTTAATATGAAGCTCCACGTCAATATTTGAAATCTCCTGTATAATTTTGTATTGGTTAAAATTTTTAAAGGATCGTTTACTAGTTATGAATTTAGATTTTTCTAGAAACACGAACAAATTGTGTTATACGAACTTGATATTGCGAGGTTGCCGGAAATTGAAAATTAAAAATGTTAATAATAACTGTTTTAGATTTTCAAGTTTTTACGCGTTTGTTGAACTAATGAAAGAAGAAAAAAAGTAAGAACATAATGAATCAAGGTAATCAAAGATAATGTTTGATTCATTGTAATTAAGTCAATTTGTAGTGATCCATTGACAAATAACCTGTTTAGTTTTAGAACTAATTTTTTCAAGTAAAGGATTAAAATGATCAGAAATGAATTCCTTCGAGTTTATGGAAAGACACCGGTATATACAGCCAATGATGATTTTTTTTTATAAAGAGTGATGATTTCAATAAAAATCCCAAATCTTTTAGGGCTACTATAAAACTTCTTTAAATATTCTACCTAAGAAACATTCAATAATGTTAACATTCTATCAGTTAAAATCACAGTATAAAAATTAATTTAGTACTTTGTATGGGCTCTTAAAACTTTTAGAACAGCCTTTATTCTTTGCAGCATTGAGGCAACAAGAGGCTCAGGCGATACCATGCTTTCAATATGATTGTTTTCAGATTTGCTTATGAGGTTGGGTTTTGTTTACAAACTATTGCCTTTAGTTTATTAAGTATTCTACTGGTTTTTAATGAGGTGAACTGCCTAAAGAACTTGGAGATAAGAAAAAAGCGTCTTCTTCTTGTCCTGCCACCTTTGTATATTTTAATTTACAAAACTTATAAGTAATATGTTAATAAATAAATAAAATTATCTGTCCAACGGAGGAAACCATGGTTTACTGCAATGCTGCTGCATGGTGTAAATCAACACATATGCCAACGCATGGTGTAAACTGTACAAATTTTGGCATTGATTAAATTTTAAATCGTATTTGATTGGCATTGCTTAACAAAAAGTACAACGTATTGATGTATGAATTTAATAGGCGGCAAACATTGACTTTGTGTGCTGCAAACTGCTTAACTTGCGTTTCGTTTTAGAACATGAGACATGGCCACAATTTAACTGTCCAACCCTTGTGCTTTTCACAAAGTTTGAGGCAATGGCAAATATGTTTTTAAGAAAGGTGTGTTTTTAATGTAGAATGGTGCTATCAAAGAATAAAATTAATGGAAAGGTGTTTTGAACTGTGCAGTCACTAACATTAACAGAATTTGTGAAATTAGTTTATCCTTCAAAACCGAAAGGGGTATTATATTGTCAGTTTTCGGAGTGGTAATTATTTTTTTTCCACAGGATGTTTTGCTGGATTGCTAAGTCACTTTTGGCATGTGATGTTGTCGCCATCAAATTAAAAACAAAAATAATTTAGACAATTAGTAAAAGAAGACTTTAAATTTTTCAAAAGTATGTTTGAAAATAATTGTTTGCATATCACATTATTTTGAAATGTTTTTTTTTTTAATTTTAAATTTGGTCGTTTTAATTTAATTTTTTTTTCAACCTAAACATACTTAATAAACATATTTCCAATCATTGTCTTAAAAATTGCTTAACTAAAGAAAAAAGTTTTTTAAATTTAGTTTTAATGTTTTTTTTTTCTAAATCACAATGTAAATAAAGTTTCCTCTATATTTGAATACGTTTTTTTCGCAGGTCATTTAGGTGCTCTAAGAAAATCTAACGGTTTTATCACAATGTACCGCGGAAAAAACTCGCGTCATCAAACAAAAAACATTAGGTTTAAAAATGCATGCAAGCAGTCAGATATGTAAATTTGAGCTACTTCAGTTTTACTATGATGGAGATCAAGTAAATATTATTATGCTGGAGATCAAGTAAATATTATTATGTTGGAGATCAAGTAAATATTATTAATGTTGGAGATCAAATAAATATTATTAATGTTGTGTTAAGATTATGTATTTATGATGTCTTTTTGATGTTATAATAAGAAGCTTGTAAATTCATTAAAATGTTTAGTAAAGTGGCCATTTTTACCCAGCTCTTCTTTTTATTTGATTTAGACTGAGGAGAGCGTTTACTTTATCTTATCCAGGATAGTTAAATACAACTAATTGTATTTAACTATCCTGGATAAAATACCAACTTTTTTTTTTTAAATATTATAAACGCAATTTTATACGCGTAAGTTTACTTTTTGCGCTTAAAAAAAATTCCTCAGTTTCGGTTTCTCACAATGAATGGTGTCCTTCAAGTTTAACTTTTTTAGAAGTAGTTTTTTGCGACTTGTGTTTATTTTGTGTTACTTTAGTGAGAGTTATTAGTAGTTTTTAAAATTTTATAAAATTGGAGACAAAAATGGCATAATAAGTAATCTTGCCCCGGTCACGCTACCAGATGACAAATTTATAAACTTTTTGTTTTAATATTTATTTCAAATTGTTATATTTGCAAACTGAAAGTTCATGCAAGAAATCAATCATTTTAATAACATAAACATACTGAGAAAGTATTGTTGCTTCACGACTGATAGTTTTGCAATAACTTAGGCTTTCAAAACGTTCGCCATGTTGCCCCGCTTTCCCCTAAATTCATGCTATATTTTGCTTTAAAATGCTCTTATATACGAAGATATTGTTAGCTTAGCATAGGAACATCCACAAATAGTTATTAAAACTAACCCAAAGTAGCATCTGTTATTGAGAAACACTTTTGCGCACTAAAGAGCTACTGGTAAGCTAAGTTGGCGATGGCTAGGTTTGAAATTGTATTGTACAACAGTCCTGATTGTAACATTTCGTTTGACATTCTAACCAACTAAATTTTTAAGCTAGAAACTTAAATTTAACGCAAGCAAAATGCTTTTCAAATTAGTAAAGAGTACAAACACTTAAATATGTGCAAGAAACAAAAGGAATTAAAATTTTCAATAACCGTAAGAGCTGTGCTCTTTTTAAAAATTTAGTATAAATATATGTTAAAAACTATGTTAAGATGAAGAACCTACCCAGCAAACATTTTATAGCATGACCTATTTAGAAATTTTGAGCGGTCCACTATAGTTTTTCTCATTGGTAACTTAGTGGACCATTTTTGGCAGCCGACAAACGTGGCTAGCCGATGACTAGCCACTATTAAAATGTCAGAAAGTTATCAGCTAGCGTTTTATAGCGGCTAATAATAGTCCACTATGTAACTGATGAGCTAAACTTTATTGAACCGCTCAAAATACTTATACAGGTCCACTGAAAATCTACTGAAAAGATGTTTGTTGGACAATAAATATTTTTTTAGTGGATTTGCAGTGGACTTATATAGATATTTTAGGCGGTTCTCTATAATTTTGCTCATTGGTTACTTTGTTGACCATTAGTGGCATCAGCTATAAATGGCCAGCCGATAATTTTTAAACATGAGATATAGTAGCTTTTTTTGCCATTAGTGGCAGTACCACTAATGGTAAAAAAAGCTACTACTTTTTTTACCATTAGTGCTACTAAAAAGTAGTGGTAAAAAAAGCTACTACTTTTTTTACCACTACTTTTTTTTTGTGGCTGCCACTTATGGTTTAATAACTAACCAATGAGTAAAACGTCAGTGGACCACTCAAAATGATTATATAGGTCCATTGAAACTCAACTATAGAATATATGCTCGGAATGTTTTTTAAATATAATAAGTGCTTTGAAAATAAGTATTTCGACAAATACTTTAATAAAATTAAAGTTTTTTAAACTGTTATATCAAATACAACAGTTTTCGCAGTTTATTGTTACAAATTAATTACGGATAGTAATCAAGTATTTCTTTGGTAGCTCTTTTTTTGTTAAATTTTTTTTCTGCATCAGAAATAAATGTATTAGTTATAATTGAAATCGTAATACAAAAAAAATGTTCAACTGATTTCCCTAAAATCTAAACTCTTGTTCGTAACTATAAAATTATATATATATATATATATATATATATATATATATATATATATATATATATATATATATATATATATATATATATATATATATATATATATATATATATATATATATATATATATATATACATATATATAATTTTGTAGTTATGAATTATAATAATTGTTTTAAAATAATCGATGTACGATTTATCAAGTTTTAAGTTAGGTTATTTACCCTAAATTTCTAAAAATGAAAACCTTACATGTTGTAGCTCGTTAACTATTTTTCAAAAAATTGGATCGTGAAACAATTAAAATGAGGTTATAAAGTTATAAAACTTTAATGACTAATAATTGCTATAATAAGAGTAATTTACAAACAAGAATTCTAACAAGAAAAACTTTCTTTAAGCTGAATAATAATTTATTTATTAAACGGGGGGTGAACGCAACGTAGAGGTTTCTTCTAATGATAGTTCCAATATCTTGAAAACAATAAAATTCTATTTTTAGTTATCGAAAATCATCTCCATACAACTTTTCAATTTATAATCTACATTATTGAGAAACGAAAAACAAAAAAATTTCAAAAAAAAAAAAATTCTTCCAGACCAATACTTTGTGATGGTTTTGAGCATGATGTTGTATTTACCATTTAAATTTCAGAATTATTAATAAATAATAGTAATATAAAAACTAGGTGTTTTTTTTAAGCCTTATATTTCTACGAGTTGAAAGCAGTCGAAACACGCACGAGTTTTACTTCAAAAATAAAGTCAGTTGACCTGATACGCTTGAATGAATCCCAGAATTTGCACATTTTTTGCATTGCTCGTTTTATATAACTTCAGTCATACTCAGAGGCAGTTAAAGGATGAATCTTGCGCTAACTATTTTAATTCTTAACTGTTTATTTATTTACTCAACATGTACTGATTCAAAGCATAATAATAGTGAGACTTTATTTATTTTAGGCTTTCAAACTTTTTGATATTTTTGTTGTTTTTGTTGTTTTTTTGTTTACATTTTATGTTGTTATTTAGCCAAGGGAAGTGAGCATAATGTAACTGAGCCGTTAGGTGGTGGAAATGACAGCAACTTATCTCAATCTTTTCGTCAAGTAGATGTGCCACAAACGCAATCGCAAATGATGTCTAAACAAATAAAAGGGTGCGTGAATAACTGTAAAGCAGAATACCGTTTGTGTAGAAAAAGAAAAGAATACGCCCAACTCCAATGGAAAGGCGCAAAAGTTAAATTCCAGTCATGCGCTGCTATCAAAAAAGAGTGTTTAGGAGGTTGTTACAAGTTTACAAAATCTGAAATAATTTCAGTTCCAAGTTAGATTCAAAATAAAATTACTCATATTTTGATTGTAATAAGAAAGTGCACAAATTTTTTACACGATTTTTTATGTTGATTAAAAACGTTCCAAAGTCACTTAAACGTTCTTAATTCATTTAAAATTGCACCATAAAATAAATACATATATGCGTACATAAAATTATTGTAATCTATTGCAAATCATTCTTATTTGATATAAATAAAAACATATTATTATCTGGAACTTGTTTCACGTTTAAAGGTAGTTTAGGCACAAAAAAAGGTATTGTCCCCCCTTGTTTGGTTGTCGATAACGTTTTTCCTACCAAGTGGTACAAAAATATAACTGTCTATACTTTTTAAACATTCGACAATCATCAGCTGTTAAATACAACATTCAAATTGGCAAAGGGTTGTGTTTTTAAGTTTTTAAAAATCTTGTTCTACAAAAAATGATGATTTTGTGACCGTGATGCTTTGCAAAATAAATTCAACTATTTTTATACTCTCATATAGATAAATATAAACATAAAGGTTTCCTCGTTCAAAATAAATATATATATATATATATATATATATATATATATATATATATATATATATATATATATATATATATATATATATATATATATAAATTAACAAGTTTTTTTGCAATTTTCGTTAGAGTAATTATCATAGCTCTTAATACAGCTCAATGGATTCCACTAAATAACCATGAATCAATGTACTTTTAAAGATCAAGTTAGCGGTATTCCTACTAATTTGATGAATGATTTGTTGAAATTTTTTAGGTCTTTAATGAAAGTCTTGTTGGTATGATGATCAGATTCATATATGAGAATCCTCCTTTGCATTCGGAAATAGGGATGATATGTATAGTGTGTACCAAATGAACTAAACTTTAAGGATATGTTTTTCCTCAAAAACTCTTTTTCTTTAATTTAATTGTAGCTGTGCCATCAAATTTTACAGAAACTAATTAATTCTTCAAATGTTCTTCTGTCTAAAAAAGAAATATTTTAGTAAAGCATTAAATAGTCTTTTAGCTGTAACACTTTTAAGTTCCACTAAATCCAAAAAGTAAACTTATTGGTGAATTCATTTCACAGCACTTTACACAGTACCGAATGTACACTATCAGTGTCAATTGCTGGCTTGTAGTGGTTGACTCATCAATCGTTAACAAAATCTTACTTTTTAAATTTATGACTTCTGCAATTTTTTTTTCCTCATTTTGTTACCTATATAATTGGCAATTTTAATGCATACCCTTCTTGAATGAAGATTACGACCTATTATAACTCCGATCAATTTTCCCTTTTCAAAGTTATTAAAGCACTGATATCCTTTTCCAACTTTATATGTAGTTCGAAAAATGTTTGCTGTGAAAATTTTCTCTCGCGATAAAAACCTTAAAATATTGTTTGAAAGAGAGATCTTTTTTAGTTTCTTTTACCATCTTTACGACTCACATTTGTAGTTTCAATTTAAAGAACTTTGAATAGAAGTTTTTATGGAATATTAAAAATGTTAAGTATTTTAAAACTAAGTTTATTAATAATACGGGGAAAAGAAAAGTTTATATAAAAAATATATATATTTGTGTTTATATATATTTGTATATATATTTGTGTTTATTTATTTTTTATGATAACTTTTTTTTTTAATTTATTTTGTTTTAAAAACTATAAATTAAATTAAATTGTACGTATTTTAAAAACTGTTCTTACCCCCATCCCGTACCCCTACCTCCATTACTTTATTGAACGCTTTTTGTAAATGTCTCCTCCCCCTAGGGCTTTTCCGAAGAAATTTGAATGGGAGAAGGGGGAGACATATCTATTTTTTACCGACTATGGCCAAAAAAAACTTTTTTGCCGACTAAGATCTGAAAAAAAAAAGTCCTCGTTGGCTAATATTTGACGACTGCCAACTACAGATCTAACTTTAGCGACTCTGATGTCCAATATGCCGACTAGTAAATTTAGTCAGGGGGCTAGGCACCCCTACGCCCTACCTCGGGATGCCTTTGCCTCCTATTTATACCTCTTAGATACTTTATACGACCCCAATGCCCTTGATTTTAGCACCAATTCTCAATTTTGCAGAATTATATATGTCTTTAAATATATAAACTAAAAAAATTTACTTTATTAAAGTTAATTTACATACGTATCCGTAAGTTTGTTTGGCCGAGAGTTTAATGCGAGCAAAGACTCCGTAATCGAATCGCAGCCAAGTCATAATTTACTTTTTATATTAAAAATTTTATTTTAATGACATATTAAATAAAATTAATTTTACTTAGGACGGAAGTTTTTTTTCAGGCAACTCTCTTTAGTAAGTCCGTAAAAAAACGAGTCTTACGCAAGATGAGTAATATCGAAAACAAAGCTTAAAACCTTTTTTTTGGCCAGTCAAAAAACAGTTTGCTCAAAGTACACGTCCGCCTCAGATTCAGTGTATTAGGAGTTGTATATTTGTGCATTGAGGGACTCTATAACTCTCTTCCAAACCATACATCTTTTTATTGTGGAAAGCTAGGATCTTAAGCCATACTTGGCTAGCTGGCGAATAATAAACAGCGATTACACAACATGGTTTTTTTATTTTTTAAAGTTGTTATTTGTTAAAAGTTAAAGTTGTTATTTGTTAAAAACACTTACTTATTAACAAGTACTTGTTAATTGTGATAGATTAGAAAACCAAACATTACCAAAGAAATCTTTTTATAATAAGTGCGTACATACTTTTATATTGAACCCTTTCACCCACATACACTTTCGTACGTTATTTGAATACCCTTTCCACCTTCCTCTTATAAGCGTACGTACTTTATGAACAGCCCCAGAGCTTCTGTCTCTCCTAAGCTCCGTTATTCCCAGTTTACTAAATCTCGTATCTAATCTTAAATGTTAGACTCTTAAGACTTTTGGAAATTCTTCAACAGTACCTCAAGATTCTATCCTCCGTTTGTTATTTCTAGATTAATAATCTTTAAAATTTTATTAATCATCTTCCTGACAGTCTTACATCTAAAGTGGCTCTAATTGTTGACAACTCAACTTTATACTCCTGTCTTGACAAAAAGTCTTCACTTTTTGATCACTTAGAACAGGCAGTCAATCTTAAATCTGATCTCTTTTTTGTAACAATTCTTTTTTTATAACAGCTTATTCCTAATTCCATTCTTTATCATTACTTAGCTCTTATTTGTTTTTGCATGAAATACTGCTGTCAAAAATTTTGGGCTGGGTCTTTTAATGATACATTTTTTCTTCTAGACAAGGTCCAAAACGCACTGTAAATTTAGCTAGACCTGCTCTATCTTGCCAAGCTTCTCTTATCGTTGTAAGGTTGTTTTTCTTTCTCTTTTCTACAAATACTATTATGGTTGCTGCTCAAACGAGCTATTATCTTTAGTTTTATCAACCAAAACTCAATCTTGTTTAACCTCCTTGAAAAAAGAAAAAACTTTATAAATGCAGTAGATAAAGTAAGCCATTTAGTATTGACAATACAAAGAAATAATGTTTTACCTTCAATAAATAATCAATTTGTTAATTTTTTGAAATTCCCTATTTTTCAAACTGCACTCTACAATAGTAAAAAGAATAGATTCCAAGGTTAGCAAAAAGATTTAGCTAACACCTTTTATTAGCTGATAATGCTAATATCTACAGATAACAAGAATGAAAATAATGAGGAAAAAAATTACATAGCTGAAACAAAAGTTTTCTTTTATTACAATTTAACAATAAAATTACAATAAAATCCTTACCCTAAACCAAGTGTATAAATTAAATACTAGCGTCTCAGCGTACTCACCTAAAAGCAAAATTACTTTTTGAAATGCATTATGCGCTTATCCAAATTTCAATTTTCAAATGGTAACAAGCCATTAAACCCGTTACTCTGAACTTCAAAATACATCAAAGTAAAAGCTAATTTAATGTTAAACTAACACATGCAAATAACCAACAATGGTTCAGGATCATCTTGAAAAATATATAAAGCTTTTTGGCGTCGACTACTAAAATCCTGATTTATTATACTATCTATAATCTATTACTTTACTATAGCAAAATATTTTTTGAAATGAAAACTAATGTATTATAACAATGTTTTTAAACAAATTCTCACCACTTTAAATAGTCACAAGTTTAAATAGTTTTATAATAATAAATTTTTACAAATATAAATAATTTAAAATAAAACTATGATAACAATATAATATAGTTTAGTAATATAACAATTATTCTACTATATAATATACTACTATGTAATTTAAAAAATATAATTTAAATTGTAATAATAATATAATTTAAATAATAAATTTAAATAATTTGTTTAATAGCTTCTGCAGCTGAAACTTTTATCATTTATAGAATACTCTTATTAAATAAATTTTTAGTTTTTTTTAAAATTTACTTATAAATAGCAATCTATTTTTGAAAATCTAATATCATAAACTGAATTATGTTTAGGTTTTAAAGAGCGCCGATAAAAAAGCTTGGAAACTATGTGAACTGTGTTTTAAAATTGCATAATGAGAGTTTCTTTTCTTAACTCATAATTTGATTTTAACTAAATTCTTATGTAGCTTTTTCAATCACACATTTCAATATTTTATTTAAACTAAAAAAAAAAAAGTTCTACGAGTGAAATTATTGTTAAATTTAATTAAGTTATTGAAAACAACTCATATTGCAAAATGAAACTAAGTTGAAATGAAATAAATCCAAATTTCTGTACAAAAGTTCAGAAGTTCGACAAACCCATTGAAATGCGAGTTGATTTAATAGTTTATCTTGGATATTTGATTTAATAGTTTATCTTTAAGATTTAAATTAAGTCAAGGAAACTTAGTGTTATAAATATTGCAGAAATTTTCAAAAAAAAATGTGTAAACTAAGTTTGGATTGCGCAGGGAGGCCAGGGTTAGTAAAAGGTCAAAACTTTGTCTTTTTTTTTTGTGATTTGCAATTAACATGCCTGTCCATATGCAGGCTGTCAAGATATCAATTTCTTAATTTTTTTATGGGTCTATTTTATTAATTAACAAATTTTTTCATTTTTTTTGCGAGTGAATTTTTGTCTTTTTTTCGTTTTTTTATTGACTTTTTTAAAAATGTTTTTTATTTAGTATTTGGACCTGTTTGGGTTTATATCATTTCAATTGAGTTTCATTTTGCGATTTGAGTTATTTTCAATAACTTAAGTAAATTTAACAATAACTTCTTCTCGTTTAAATAAAATATTTTATTTATTTACATTGGTTGATCATCAATTGAGAACTAAACCGTTCAACAGAAGTGTCAGTATTAGTAAAGTTACTGATATCTATCTTTAAATTTTATTATGTTCATCAATTGATTGCTCTTTGACATAATGGTGATTTGTGATTGGGAAAGCTACATAAATATTTAGTTAAAATCAAGTTATGAGTTAAGAAAAGAATTCAAAAAGTTCAGAGAAACAGGAGTTGAAGAAAATCGAAAATTGTTAAAGAATTTTTATTTTCTTAATGATTATCTTTAATGAATGAAAATCAACTTACAAAATACAAGAAGTACAACAAAGAGATAAAACTACACGCTGGCAGTACCAATGGAGCCCATACGTATCTAAGAACAAACCACGCAATCAGCTTGCTAAATAGAGTATTGCCTCAAGATGCAGTATATTCATTGGCTTTGTTTTTATCGGCTCGATTGCCATTGGTTAAAAAAACCAAAATCTCTAATCAACAATTTCTTCAAAAATCAATTTGACAAGTTGTTGCCGGCAGTTTTCTCTATGTTGATTGCCTTTGATTTGACGGTCCTTTTACATTTTTTTCTCATCAGCTAAACTGAGAACATAGTTAGAACCTCGTGGGTTTATTATTGCGAAATTACATAGTCAGAGAGCCGGTCATATCCAAGTTTTCTTATCACCGATTGCAAGGAATGCAATTCAGTTTAAAAAGCATCAAATCAAAAAAAAAAAGCGCCAATCAAAAATTGCAAATATTGTAATTAAACATTTATATCGAGGATAAATTTTGAAGTGTTGGATTAGCTAAAGTTGTTGGCTTGCTGCCTGCTGAAAAATGCGTCAAGTTAGTTCGAAATTGTTGACGCAGTTTATTTATACTGAATTACAATGAAGACAGTGTGTGGATTGATCTCATCATAACAAATGAGCCAGACCATGTTATCTTTATCAAACAAAGTGACTCTCTTGGCAACCCACCATTGGCCCAGGCATACTGCTTCATTGAAAGTTAACTCGCTGTTGTAGGTCTCTTGTCTTCTTTGCCGCTTCAACCTCGAATTATTTGGAGCCAAGCAAACTACGCAGCAATATCCTCGCACATTGCAGCTGTTAGTTGGGAAACAGAATTCACTGGTCTTATTGCAAAAAAAGCTACCAGCACCTAAAAAACGAACCTAACAATAAAACGTAGATAACAATAAAACGTATATAACAAAACCATCAAATTATACATCCCATCAGCTACTATTTCCTTCGCTGAGAAACAGAAGCAATTGGTAACACCAGACCTTATTAAGGCGGCCTAAACCAAGTATATTATTGCTGGTCGAATACGCACGAATTACTCAGAGAATCTCATTGCACCGCATGCAAAATGTACTAAAATGGTAAATCTGCCAAGCACAGCTACAAAGAGAAACTCGCCTGAAAGTCCAAAAGCAACCCTAAACTATTACAATTATGGAGAGAACAGAGTGTCAGGAACACTATTACATTGCTTAAAGCAGCTAACAGCAACATCACTAATAATACCGGCAATATATGCTAATTATTAAACAACTATTTCCAATTTGTTTTTGTTTTGGAGCCCGAAGGTCCAGTTTCAGCTTTGGACTTTCATCGGCATCACATATGAATGTCAAGCAGTCACTAGAGGTGTGCTTTAAGGCTCGGTCTTGGGCCGATAGTTCTTCAAAATGTTCATTAATAACCTGCCGGACAACATCACTCATCATATGATATGCTGACGTCAGTAAAATTATGGGCATAATTAATAATGAGTTGGACAGCATCACTTTCCAAGCTGGCATTGCAGAGCAGTGGTATGGTCAAGTATATTTGGCGCATGCATTAAAATTTTTTTTCAATTTTACTTTGAATTTCATTAAGTAATGCAAAGTAATGCATGTTTGCATGCATATAAAAAGTCGACGGGTAAATACTCAAAATGGCTCTTTGTTTGTACTTTTTCTGCGTTATTATGATTTTTTTGTTGTTGTTGTAGTATTGACGTAAATTTATGCAAAAACACTTTTTTATAAATTTTAATATATCTAAGAAGACAAAAAAACTACAAGTATTTGCCAATATAGTAAAAAACTCATCAGTATTCGTGGAGGAGTGGTTAAAGATCTGGCTCAGAATTAAAAGGTATTTTTTTAAAACCTTTACATAACCTTAATATCCGTTTTTCTCAAACAATACCTGACCTTGCTTACTAGTTTATAAATGTCTATGTCCAATTTCAGCCGCTAACGTCAAGTTTTTATTAAGGATTTGCTCAAATGTTCTCAATAGAGCAAACATTTGGCATGTTTGCTAGAATTTGCATCGGTGAGATAAGTTTAGCTAACGTGTATCATAAAATTTACCAATAAAATAGTTCTAATAAAATTAATTTAGCGCAGTATGATTAAGCTAATCTTGACCAAAATACATATTTACCATTGCTGGAGTAATCCTGAGCGAATCAGACCAACCGCTTGGTTATATTATTTTTTTATGTCCGATCTTGATTGACTTATTTCACTTGATCTAACCTTGTTTTGATCATACAAAAACTATTGGCTAATATATTTGTTCATACAAAAACTATTGGCTAATATATTTGCTCATACAAAAACTATTGGCTAATATATTTGCTCATACAAAAACTATTGGCTAATATATTTGATTATTGTAATAGTTGACTTTATTAAGTGTTCGAGTCTGATCTTTTGGATAATACAAACCATTACCAGTAAAAAGGAAATTGGTTATAAACAGTTAATCTTGATCAATTACTTGCCTAGAAGTGGTTTGCTATAAACAATATATAACTAAGCGGTTGATCTGTTTTGCTCAAGAACATTACAGTAATGGTAAATATGGATTTTGGTCTAGTTCAGACAATGCTGGTGTTCTATTTGTAAAGTTTGTACCAATATGGTTTTAAATGCTCCTTTCTTTTTATTTTAACATTTTCTTTATAATTTTGGCCAACTATTATTAAAATACATTGGACCATAAAATAAAAATTTTGTGAACCATTAAAACCTACCTACTCTTTTAATTTAAAACTAAAATGAAGCATACACTATGACAATGTAATTAAACAAAGGGCTAAGTTTATTTTTCAGATTTTTTTGTGACATAAATAAAAGATTTTATTGGCTTTTGTTCGCCATTCAGCATATTTAAATATGATGCTTATTTAATATATATTTTACACCAGCATCTGATAAAATCCGAAAACCATTCGAAGAATTAAACAAACGTGGTACATTTGTGATAAGACTTTGTCAACCAAATTTTTCTTTACTAATAGAGTAACTAATTCCCATATTGACTTTAGCTTTTAAAGCTTATTTACCGGTAACCGGTAATTTGCAGAGATTCAAAAGAGTTTGTATCTTTCAAACAGAATTTATTTCCTGTGATTCTTGATTGAGCAGATACAACATAATTAATATATCTTTTAATAAGAAAAGTAAAAATCAGAAAATGATCCTTTTCAAACTTCGTTACTTTTATTGTATCATAAAGTTACTTTTGTAACTTTATGATACAATAAAAGTAACGAATTTAATGAAAAAAGCTGATGAAACTCTTGTTTCATCAGCTTTTTTCATTAAATATAACTCAAGTAACAATCTGCTCTTCTTGCAAATTTCAACACTTTTTTCCAACTAAAATCTTTTTTTTTTTTAATTTTGTTTGCTTGAAGATTTTATTAACAGAGTTTATTTTTATGTCTTTGTAGAAAAGCAATGATCAATAAACTGATATATTTATTTAATACGCATAATCACTATCTGGTTTTCTCGCCATTATCTGGTTTGTAGTAGTTAAGTACTTTCTTTAAATAGTTACTTTTTGTCGTCTTCACTTGAAAGATCTGTTAGTATATAAACTTTTTTGTCTAAAAATTTTCTAACGTCATAGAAAAAGGTAGTCAAAAGGCAACGCCAATAATATTTTAAAACAATTTTCTTCTCAGTAAAATTTGTTACTTCTCTGATTTCTCTTTTTTTTTTATTATCAATTATCTCCTAAATCATTTTTGATCAATCTAAAAATCCTGGAATCTAATAACGGAATTTCCCCTAAAGATTACCTAGAATTTTTGTGTGGGGCTGAAGTTTGCTTTTTATTAAAATATTAAAAAAAAAATTTTATTCACCATCGATTAATTAAGATAATTTGATACAAACTCTATTTAGAACAACGGATGGTATACCATTTTTTAGAAACAGATATATTATTTGAAGCAAGTGTTATATCGGTAAGTGATCGACCGAAATTCTGTTTCGGTATCGATTATGGCCGAAATTTCAATTTGAACCGGTACCGAAGAAATTTCGGTTGAAAAACATACCGAAAACCGAAAAATTCGTAAGATTTTAAATTTTTATCAAGTTTAGAAAAACAGATATTAATTTGAATCTTCACAAAATATTTTAAGAATTTTCACAAAATACCTCGAAAAAATCTTGTTTTGCAGAGAAAATCTGCCAATTTTTAACTTTCGCTATAAACTTACAACGCTTTCTTATGTATTAAATCTCAACATGTGATACACCTATAATCAAGTCTTATTAATACACATATACAAAAACAATAAATGAAAGATTTTACTTTTAAATAAACTTTTTAAATGAAATTAATTTTGACTAGCCGAAATGTCGGTATCGATTTTGGTAAAATATTTTATAAATATCGATTTAGGTTTTCGCACCGAACGAGAGCACCCGAAATATTGGTTTATTTTAGTGTCGCTTATTTTTCTGTTTCGGTCGATCACTAATATTGACTTAACGAACTGACGAACTACACGTCTGGAACTGAGCATGAGGTCCCCTCTCAGCAGGTAAAAAGAAATTGTTAAATTAATTTTTCTATAATGCTGTTTTGACTATGTTTGGAGTTACCCCGCGTTAGCCATTACCCCACTCTCCTCTAATACTCTGATTATAGATTTTATTCCAATTATAGAGCTTCAGTTGCTTTTTAGGATGGTAAACCACTTACCTGGAACCACAGGTGTGTCTTCAGGAGTGTCTTCACAGGAGAATCTTCATTGCTTGATAATTAAGCAATGAAGATTCTCCTGTAGTAGTGTGTAGAAAAACATTTTCACTTGAATCTCTTATTCTATGAGCTATGCGTCACTTTTCACAAATTCCTGTCTACATTTGGGTTTATTGATATCAATTTGATTAGCAAATATTTTTTGTAAACATTTAGGCAAAAAATCAGGTTGTTGCCTTTTTGTAAGTAAAGAAAACATACAGGCATTTATCATGATTTCTTGCTTTATTTAGCATTTTGAGAGTATAAAGTAAGTCAGGTTAAAGATTAAATGTTAAAACTGTATTTTTACTATTTCTCAGCAAATTTTGTGCGTTTAATTTTAACTGAAACCAAATTCCAAATAAAACAACGTTTTATGTTTCAATAAAACCACAATGGTGTTTTTTTAAAAAAGTTTTAAACTCGACGTTATAAAAATTAAATTAGAAATATTGATTTTTATGAAAAAGCAAAAATCAATTTTTTTCTTACGGATGAAATAGTTTGATTTTGGAATCTATATCAATGTGACCGTCTATTTGTGTACTACCATACCCCAAAGGTTTTTATCGGGACGGAAAGTTTAAATTACCTACCATTTTGTGACTCTGTGGAGTGCGGACAAGATTATGATTAGAGATATTTTTAGATATTTTATTTTTTAAAACGTTTACATTTTTTTTTGAGTATTCAGTTTTGTAAATAAATAAATGAATCATTATATCACAAGCATAAAATAAAATAAGTATAAAAATACGCTAAATTAAGTTTGGAGAAAAAAAATGAAAATATGAAAAATCTTTCATATTTTCATATTTATTATATAACACATACTACTTTTTATATTATAGATACTTTTGAATAAAGAAACTAAACAAGTTACTAACCTAAAAGTTAAAGGCCAATCTAAGTACGAGCTAACAAACTTTTCAAATATAAAAAATAATTTCTTAATTTATCAACAAAAATTTTTTCCGAAAATATATTCTTTAACATTTTTATTTAAAGTAAAAAGAAATCTGTTATAAGTTATACTATTGTCCGACTGTGTTTGTTGCGCTTTTGAAACAGAATGCGGCGATTTTTTGGAACTTATCTACGCTTGACTGCTCACAAAGTCGTATACAAAAAAACTTTTAAACCAAAATGGTGGAACTTTAGCTAAATAAGCTACTTTATAATATATTAGCTCTTAAAACTATTTTTAAGCAAAGAAGCATATTAATCAAATATATTTGAAATAGATAAAGTTTAATGTGTATGGATAAATGCGTTAACTTGCGAAACAGAATTTAAAAAACTTATATAAAATTTAAGAATATGGAAAGGTAAATTATTTTTTCATTTTGAAATATGAAAAATATTTGTAAAATGCTGATAGTTGCATTTTATCAGATATTTATTACTTTGTTTTTAATTGGTAGCTGGTATTATGTTGCAATAAAATTATACGATAGCTGAAAGTAATAAATAATACTAAACAAAAGCATTCTTTCTATATATTTAGAAAAGTTTTGCAGAAAAAGCCGTTTTAATGTGGGGTGGAAGCGATTGGGTGTTTGCATAAGTGACGTTTCATAAAAATATTAATAAATACATAAAAAGGCTATTTTTAAGCGTTCAATGACCTTTTCGAATTTAGTAAATATTTTCATAATGAATAACAAAATAGCTAAGCAAATAATTGTTTTTCCGGGTAGCATGAGTGTAGGGGTGTGGGTGTAATAAGCAGAAAAAAAAATTTATAAAACTCTTAATAAATTTTTAATTCCTTAAGCAATGTTTGATCAATATCAAGAAAGTCGCGTTTGTAAGCAAAATATTGCACTAAACTTTCAAAAGTAACCTTGCCAAAAAAAAAATATTCAATTTCTATCAATAGAAACCATAAATTGTAGAATAAGTGCTTAAATTTTTTTTTCAAAGTTTCTATGAATAGTTACAACTGGAAATCTTTTAAACTAAACACAAAAAGTAATTGCTGCTGTTGCTGCTGCTGTTGCTGTTATGTTAAAATGAGTACACATAACATTTCATTAAAGCAAACACCTGTATAAAAAGTTAGGCATATAACAACATCAAAAATACGTTTAATAGAATTAATTTATAAGTAATAATAATATTAGTAATGATGAATAAAAATAAAATGTTATATAAATATTATAAGTATAAATGACGATATAACGACGTATAAATGAAAACTGTAGGAAAACATCAAAGTTGACAATGCTTTTCAACAAGGAAACTTTCTTTGGTCTGCAAAAAAAGTGAATACTCCTCGTGAGTTTTATTACACTTTAAAATGATTTTATTTAAATTTGACTCATTAAGTTTTATAAATTAAAAAGTTTACAAATTATATACTTACTGTTTACGATGTTTTTGATTAAGATTTATTCGAACTTCGTATCACGTGCGTATGTTTAAACTTCGTATCACGTGCGTATGCCCGAACTACGTATCACGTGCTTATGTTTATTTATTGCTTAACTTGACACAGTTTGTTCTTCTCTATATTAAAACTATTAGCTCTAATATAGCTTAAATATCTTATATAATATCTTTATATATAAATATCTTTGTAATAACAAGGAGTTATTATAGCTATGCTATAATAACTCCTTGTTATTACGAAGTAGACGAAGAAGTATGATATTCAAAATAACGTTATCTTGAATAACACACTTCTTCATAGGAAATAAGTAGAATATTTTGATAAAGCTAACGTTATAACGTTAGCTTTATTAAAATTGCTTTCAGTTACAATGTAATATGATTTTGGGTTTATTGGAATAGGTGGTGCAATTTGACATAAAACTTCATTTTCTTTGTAACTAAAAATTAAAAAGTTATAATTAGGGGTGTACCAAATTTAAAATTTTGAAGTACCGGCTCGAGAAAGCGCGAGGTTTTAGTTTGCGACGGCTTTCAATGAAAACCTAAAAAAAAGGGAGGGGCTGAAGAGTACTAATGTACGAGAATAAAATCATGTTTTTATATATAATCGTCTTTTACATATAAAATATATAAATATGTATAAATAAAATATAATATATAATATATAAATACTCAATAGTGTCACTAGTCATTATATTGAACAAAAATGCATGTTATAATATGTTTTACACAAAAATCATATATATGCTCATTATTGTTTTTATTTTGATTATTAAATCGTCTTAAGAAAACTTAAAAAGAAAATTCCGCCTAATGGGGCCCCGCAGTGCCTTTTTAGAAAGCTAGAGATATATACCTCTTTATCTAGTTTTTCAGATTGCTCTTATATTTCCGCATTGCTCGTATACGGTCTGAGCCGGCCTTATATATATACATATACATACATACATGTATATATATATATATATATATATATATATATATATATATATATATATATATATATATATATATATATATATATATATATATATATATATATATATATATATATATGTATATATATATATATATATATATATATATATATACATATATATATATATATATATATATATATATATATATATATATATATATATATATATATATATATATATATATATATATATATATATATATATATATATATATATATATATATATATATATATATATATATTATAAGCAGGATATCCAGGTTCGAAACGAGCACTGGACATATTTTCGCGTTACGGTAAGGAAGGAGGCGTGAACTTCCTGGTTAAATACATTTCTGAGGTGCTCTGTGACAAGACCGTTAAGTCTATTTATACATATACATAAAATATTTACTGTATTAGGTATCCTATACTTTTAAACTATTTAAAAGTTAAGAAACATTAAAAATGAGACTATTGTCAGAGTTAGGTAAAACATTTTTGATAAAAAAGAGCTAGTTTGTCGCCCAAAACTGGAAAGCAAAATGTCGATAGCCACATATTGTAGTTTTTAAGTTGAAGACAGTTTTGTCATTAACTAGTTGTTAATCAAATAAGCTACCAATAATCACAAAAAATTGTTTTTTTTGTTAGTACTTGTGTTGTTAACAAGTTACTATTTCATTTCACAATGGTTAGTTCATACTAATTTTAGAAATTTACCATATGTCATTACCCGGTGGAAAACAATAACACATCTGCGTAACTTAATTGTGGCTTATGAGCATTTTCTCACAATGTTCGATTTTATCTTTTATCTCTGCAAAAAATAAATTTTTAGCGTAGGTTAAGAAATTAATTTAACTTTTTAGAAAGTAGTCGGTTATATAAGTATATATATTCCTTTCAAGGATTTTCCCCTCCCCAAAACCCTCATTTTATTACTAAAATTGCCCGTGCATATAAATAAATCTAAAAATTTGACTTTCCGTTGCTAGTACAATCGATTAAATGTTTCAAACGAGTTTCAATAAATATAAACAAACGTTCGTAAAATGTTAATGTTCAACAGCATATCGATTATTAGATGTTTAAAAATACGTTATCACCTGTGTTTTAAACTTGACCTTTTTTTTATATTTTGCTAACTTGTAGCTAGCAATATTTATTGTCAAATAACTGTCTTTATTGTTGTTTACAATTTGTTCTTGGCTTCTATAGCTAATAATCCTCTAGGCTACTTGCTGAACTTTAAACCGCTATAAAAACTTAAGCAAAAAGAATTAAAATAATAACTGAAAATATGCTCATAAAAGTGTGCGGGATTGCACTATGCATTATTGAGTCACAGCAGTTGTTTAAATGCAGTTAATGAATGATCACACGAGGAAGTGTAAAACAAATAAAAATAAAAAAAAAATGCATAGAAATAGAAACGCCCAAATCAAAATGGCGCATTAAGTTTAATGAAAATCGCAGCGTAAAAGAGCTTAAGATCTCCTATATTTTAAATATATTTGGCGTTACGTAAATTATGGGCGATCCCAAGTATATTTCTTATATATTTTTATACTATATGCTATTGAGGATTGACTTTAAAAATATATTACCCATAATTCAACATCCTTGATATTATCATATCGACTGAATACTAAATTTACTTGATATTTTCTCTAACAAAAGTTGATGATATCCACGTTAATTTATATTTGGTTATCTTTAAAACAATAAACTTGCTATAATGTATTGTTATTGTGGATATTAATTAAAAGATGAATTGCTAATTACAGTACTATGATTATAATAATATAATTATGTTGATAATATAATTATATAATTATGCGTTGAGTAGTGAGAAACTGTATAAAAAGCTGACGTTTAGCAAAACATAATGAATTAGCTAGAAGAATAACAAAGAAAATAAACACATCGCAAATACGTAAACTTTGATTGTAATTTAGAACTGACTTACATTAGTATCTGACTATCAAATCATTCTTCCATACAGTCGAACAAATAAACTTTTAATAAACAAGAAAAATCTAAATAGGTCGAAAGCAAGAGAATACAGAAAACTATGCAATCTAGTTTTCTGTCACGAGAGTGGTTGTAGTGCATTATTTATTGACAGGATCGAGTTTGAAACGCACTTGCTTGCTGCTATTCACCACTCTTTGCAGATAACTTTGGCAATGGATAAAAAGTTGTTTCTATCAAAAATGAAATCATTTTCACAACCGCATTTGCCGATATCGAGAGATATTCTAATTTTATATGGTGTGACTCTTAAAACTGGGTGTAAACAGTTTCCTATCATGCCTTTGTTTAAAAGGGTTGGGTATGCTCTACTAGTAAGAAGCACTTTTATATTTTCTTATGCTCAAAGCACTTTTAGATTTTCTTATGCTCAAAGTTCCTTTCTGTTAAAATATAACAATGAAAATATTAAACAAAATTCGTTCAATGTTTTTCTCTATCACAGTTTTTGTGACGCTACTGTGACCGCATGTGTCATAACATGTTAAAGTGAATAAGTTAATGTTAAAACTAATGTTTCTCTAACTGTGCATAAAATAAAGCAATTATTCAGCTAAAATATTGCATACTTCTTGTGTATAACGTGGATATTAAAATATATTTTTATATGAAAAAATGATATTAGTTGAAAAAATGTTTCTTTTTTGGTTGATAATTGTTCGTTAAAATTTAATTATATACATAAATAACATAAAAAAAATAATTAAAAACTACAGGCTGTTAAAGGTATAAATTAGAAATGTAAACAAAGATTACGAGGATCTTTTTGTCAGAATCCTTTAAAACTTTAAGCACCACAAAAAACAAACTATTAGTCTCGTAGTATCGTAATCCGAACAAAGCATTTTTAGTTCATTTTAAAAAGTAAAGATCAAATTAGAGATTTGGCAAAACAAGTCCAAATACAGAGTGAGCAAAAAAAAAAAAAAAAAAAAGATTAAACTTTGAAAAAAAACACAATATTTCTGTGAATTACGATGTTTCAAAGTATAACAATATAATGTTTGTTAATGTTTTACAGTTTTATGTGTCAAAAAATCTTTATTTGACATACATACAGGTCAATTTCGAATATGTAAATATTTAGAGTTTTCATTTTAATGAAAAAAAATTTTGGCTGAGAGAAATGATTTGCAAAATTATTTATTAGGATTACGCGATTATGACGACTAATGAAACGTTGTTTTACAATCAAAAGCAAAAAAGTAGAAGAGAAAAAAAAATCTATAAGATTTTTTTATGCTTCAAACAAGGATAATTATCTAAAAGTAAGATATAACTAAAAAACAAGACTTAACACAAGGAATAAATAACGAGAAATCAGAATTTTTATTCAGCACTGTTTTAAACTGAAGTTTGCACAAAAAAAAAGTTAATTTAAAAACCTTCCTAAAATACAATTTTAAATTTAGTTTATTTTCGTTTAAAAATGAGAAGGTAGTTATCAATTTGTTTTTAAATAAAAAAACAAACAAACAAACAAATAACAAATATAAGTTGTTATTGAGTTGTTAAGTTGAAAAACGTTAATTTTATTAATAGAATGGTTAGATCCTTCCCAATAAGCATAAAGTGTGTTTAAGGTTACCCACTAAATAAAAAAAATACAAAAAGCTTATATTTTTATATTACGTCATTAATTATGCGCATAATTTACTCAAAAACAGCATATTTTCTAACAAAGATAACTAATTGCAGAGTATTCCGAATCAAGTGAAACTTTTCAAAAACTTAGCTTATTATATGAACTGTGTGCTGAGTCAAAATTAAAGTTGATATTTTAATTTATTGCTCTGAAATTTACAATTTAGTATAAACCCCTAAAAAATGACCTGTTTTGCCCAAATTTTAATTTGAGTGGGATGCCATAGTATAAATATTTTTGACTCAGCACATTCATCTAACTAAGTTTTATCTCTGTAGAAAATTTCAAAGAATAATATTGAACAAAACTAAATATATCTTTGTTAGAAGGTAGAAAATCTTTAAATAGAGAAAAACGCATTGGAAAAAAAAATTCAAAAATAAAAAGCTACAAATTCAAATATGGTCTAGTTTTAGTACTTTTGACCAATGTCATTTAGCTTATGAATAACTTAACAGTGTAGATAAGAACTTGGTTAAGGTACAGTTTAAATATGTAGAAAAAGTGCCCATTAGTTCTGGAGAAAAGAAGTTCCAACTGTCGCTAAGGCCGTTGCTAAGGAACTTTTGGATGTTTACCCCTTTTTAAAGAACAAAATTAGGGCAAACTTATAACTTTTTTTTCCATTGTTATATACTTTTATTGTTTATAAAGGTTAAAACTTCCAAAAAACAGAAGAAAAGATAATATTTTTTTTCAGACTTTTTATAGTGGGTTAACGCGTTTAAAAAATGTATTAAAACGTGTTAATAAGTTTTTACACATGTTAAATACATCTTGTGTTTACTGGTAAGTTTACTCAACAAAAAACTATACAATATTAATATTTGCATAAATGAGTAGATGTTTTAAGCAAAATGTTTGTATTTTTTAGCTATCTAAAATGAACATTTATTCTTCTTTGTATCTGCTGCTATTTTTCTTATTATACTTGGCAATATCTAATGCAACGGAGAACACTACAGGTGAAGGTAATTCAACTTTCTATTTTTTTTACAAAAAAGTTTATTTTAAGTTATAATGTCTTATCATATTTATAAGTTTCTTGTGAGAGCTCTTATATTTTTTGTGAGAGCTCTCAGGTTTTTTCTGAGAGTTCTCAGGTTTTGAATATACAATTGTTGTAAAAAATAGTGTTAAAAATATTTAAAACAGTCCGAGAAAACTTAACAACAACAGAAAAGAGGTGCATAGTTTAAAAATTTTTAATATCCAAAATTTATGCTAGCCCTACGAGGATTTACAGGGTATTGACAAATAATCAATAGACTTCTAGGCTGAGTAAACATCTCAGCTTCTTATTTAGAATTATATAGCATCAAAAAAGAAAACAAATTAGGTTTGTTGCGAGTCCATTAAGGTGAAACATGAAAGCATTTAAAAACTATGTTTTCATCTATCTTTAAGTTATTTACCCATTATATCTAATAATTGATGTTTTTTTTTTAAATGACACACTTACGCCAAGATGGATTAACGGAACTTTTGCAACAAACATGCACATTACTAATAAACTTAAATTTAAAAACTGAGCATTAAATGACTTTTGAAATCTTTAATATAAGCAAACAAATAATTTTAAATTGAGAAGGTTTACATTTAATTACTATCAGCAGCAAATATGTTACTATCGGAGTTCTTGCTTATATACTTATATAGTATTATTATAAGCAAAAAAAAGCAACTATTTACCATCGAATTCAGAGTCAAAATTAAATTAAAATATTTAGATTGAAATTTTTAGCTTCCATTTTTGAAAATAAAAAAGTCAAAAGTTCAGGAATATTTCGCTTGGTTTTCAAAGCGAAATTATTTTTGTGCTTATACCAGCAGTCTTAAAGTGTTTTTTTTTGCTAGCCTAATATTATGGCATACATTTTCTTGTAGGAAAGTTTTTAAATGTCCTTGTTAACTAGTGTTTGATTTCTACAAAGTTTTAGGAAAAAAACTTACTTGTTGTTACATCAAATCACAAACATTTGAATTGATGATCACTTATCGCATTGATGAATTAGAAACACATTCGGTGTCAATTATTTCATCATCTTAAATGATATTTTGGAACATGAGAAAAGTTGTTTATATGATGGCGTGCTGATGCTATAATCAAAATTAAGAGATAAAGAAGTTGATAATGTGTCAATAAAGATCAAACAGTTGGTGCTAGTATTAACCAACCATTATTGTCATTATTATCGGGTGGAGCTATTGCAAGTAGTTAACCAATCAGCGAAAATCAACACTATTATGGGGTGTTTTAGGAATGTTAACTGAGCAGTCTCCATTCAATATGTTTAATAACGAGTGTTCAATAAAAATCTATAAAGATTTTGAAGCTTAACAAAAAGGTACACCACAAGTTTCCTGTTTTTTTTTTTGGTACTTTTGTTTCAAACTTAATACTCATTCTTTATGCCTTTAATCTCCGGACCTAAATCCAATAGAACGTTTTTGGGAGCACATTGAGAGAATAATTAACTGTCGCAAACCAACTAATCAACAGAAATTATTTGAGTTGATTAAACGCATTTAGGTGGTACCAATTGATGTTTTAAATAATTTGGTTGATTCAATGCCATGTAGATGCAATATTGTCAATGCGGCAAAAGTTTATCCGACCAGGCCCGTAGCAACCGGGTGGCCAGCAGGTGCATTTGCCCCCCTATTATAATAAATAATTAATAAATAATTTTGAAGAGATTGATTTAAAAAATGAAAAAAAAATGAAAAAAAAAAAATTCTTAACACTAGTTCGGAGAGTACTGCCCCTCCCCCCCCTCCTATATAATTTTTGTTCCTACGGCCTAGGTTATTAATTATATGTAACAGAATGTAATATTTTGTAAAATTATATATATTATATTAAAAAAATATCATTAAAAATATTAAAAAACAATATTAACACAACAAATTATCATTTGTTGTTTTTTAAGGACGTATTTAGTTAGTCCAATTATTTTTGAGCCAATCGTTTGCATTTTTTAAATAAAATTTTGAATAATTATTCCCATATTTTAACTTTTGTTTTGTTTTTCATAATTGTAGTATAGTTTTTAACCAAAAAAAAATTAAATTTACCAAGGTAAACTTACTTGTTCAGAGTTTAGTAACATGTGACAGTCTTATTTTAAACGACGAATTACAAGAACAGTAGATTCCCGGTTTACCGAACTAGCACTTCCTTCTTCAGAAATTCTTGTTAATTAAAAGCTATTTTTCATTCCTCGGAAATTTTGTAGAATATATTTATGCAATTATCACTTGCAGTTATTAAAAATTTTGTTTATTTGAAATAATTTTTGGTTTCCTTTGACGAAAAACCTGTTAGTTATTCAATTTTTTCCAAAGGTTTTGACATTAAAACTTGTTAAACACAAAAAACTAAAAAAAATTGTGATCATATTTCTGAAAAACGTTTTACAATTTGCATACCAGTTCTTGTGATATATTCATCATCTTAAAATTTCTCAGTGAACCAGTGGTTAAAGCAGGAGGCCCATTTACTTTCAGTGTTTCTCTTTTAAAAAAATCTTTTATTTCAAATCAAGGCTCCAAAAACTGCGTGACTGTCTGCATGACTGTCTGCCAATGTTTCCCAAGTTTATAGCCTTTCTTGTAATTTTAACGTGATATACGTTGTTAGAAGTAGGAGATTGTTTGATACTTTTATCAGAGTAAAGATACTGGTAAAATGACCTCAAATCAGCATTCAGCATTCTTAAAGCCATGCGCATGTTAGAAAAAGTCATTGGGCGCTTTATCTGCAACACTGTAAAAAAAAAAAAAAAAAAAAAAATGCTTTAGAAAGTGAAGCAAGTGTTATCACAGACCGAGAAACTTTTGAAATTTCTCAGAGAGGTGACTGACAAGGAGTCTAACGACGTGGGACTGACAAGGAGTCTAACGAGATCTAACGACGTTCTTAAAAAGCTAAAAGTGTTAGAGATTGCACGCGCAGTAGAGTTACTTGAATGATTGTTTTTTTATGACAGTGGAGGTGAAATTAGACAACCACAGAGTCTCAAATCCAATTGAGGTTTGATAAAACTCAAAAAACCTTTGTACAGTTATATTAAATCCACGCAAAAAATAAAAAACTTCATTAAAGCTATCGAATTCAAGGGAAATATAATGACAGATCCAAAAAATATTATAGAACACATAAATCAATATTTTCAATCAGTTTTTGTTCAAAATGTAGAAAATGAGCAGTTGCCGAGATTTGAAGATCTAACAGGTAAAATCATAGGCAATAAATATTTTGATAAGTGTGATGTTTTAAACAAACTATTAAACTTAAATACAACAAAATTAATGGGTCCGGATTGTGTGTACCCCTTTGTAACAAAGTCGTGTGCTGATGAACTTGCGCTGCCAATCTTTTTATTATTCAGGAAATCAGTTGATGAAACAGAGGTACCAAAGGCATGGAAACTTGCAAGTATTTCCCATTGTTTAAAAAGAGAAGTCGTTTAAAAGCATCTAATTATTGTCCAGTTTTTTTAACATCGGTTCTTTGTAAGACTCTAGAAAGAATAATCTGTGAGCAAATAGTGAACTATATAATTAAAAATTATCTATTATCTCATAAGCAACATTTTTATGTTAAAGGCAAAAGCTGCACCACAAACTTATTGGAATGTATGAATATTGTTACGTTTTCAATTGCAAATGGAAAACAAGTTGACGTCTTATACATCAATAATGCTAAAGCTTTTGATACTGTTGAACATAAAAGATTACTACTAAAATTATCGGCTTATGGTATGAAATTGAATTTATTAAATGGGATCAGATCTTTCTTATCAAGTAGAAGTCAAAGAGTTATATATGGTGATGTTAATTCATTATGGCTAGAAGTCAGAAGTGGTTTCCCACAAGGATCCGTTCTTGGTCCGCTATTGTTTAATCTTTATATTAATGATTTGTGTTCTTTACTTAAAAACCTATGCGAGCTTTATGCGGACAATAGCAAAGTTATTGCAAAATTAGATGAAAGAAGTAATACTTCAAAGCTACAAAATGATATTGACATTATAGAAGAATGGTCTAAAATATGGAAGATGAAGTTAAAATTAGATAAATGCAAGGTTATGCACATTGGCAAGTTAAATCCAAAACATTTATATACTTTTGGGCAAGGTGATTTTAAACAAGTTCTTAGCACTACTGAGTTGGAAAAAGATTTAGGAAGAACAATTTTGCGAGATTTAAAATGGGAATTTCAAATTGAATCAGCAGTAGCCAAAGCAAATAGTAGACTGGGTCTATTGTAAAAAATATTTAAATACCAAACCAAATTATTTTTTACACAATTGTACATAAGCTATGTAAGACCTTATTTATCTTTTACACAATTGTACATAAGCTATGTAAGAATTTAGAGTTAACTTATTAAATGTAATAAGCTAACTCTAAATTCTAATAAAACAAAGTGGACCTTATTCCATTCGCTTTCCAAAAAACGGTATTTGTCATTGAACTTACCTAAAATTTTTATTGATCAAAATGAAATAAAAAGGGATTCCGTAACAAATTTATAGGTGTTTATCTTGATGAAAACATTACTTGGAATCATCATATCGACTGCATAAGCGCTAAAGTTTCAAAAAACATAGGAGTTTTATATAAAGCACGAATCTACCTCAATTAGAAAATTTTAATCAAATTTTATTATTCATTTATACACAGTTATTTAAATTATGCTAATATCGCCTGGGGTAGTACAGAAAAAAGTAAGTTGCAACGTCTTTATCGCCGTCAGAAACATGCTATCCGTTTAATCTGATTTGCAAATCGCTTTTCTCACTCAAAATATTATTTTATTGAAATGAGAATTTTAAATATATACGAGCTAAATATATATAATGTATTATGCTTTGTATACATGTGGAAAAATGACTTGTCTCAATCTGTCTTCAAAGATATTTTTACTCCGAAACCCATCAGCAAATACAATTTGAGAAATACT